CTTGCTAACTGGATTTTCTTATGTTTCCACAATCTACTCTTCATCCTACTACTTAGTTGATCTGACCACACATCCAGTCACTTTCCTCCCACTCATCTACCCATACATTTGTCATTGTCTATCCCAACCCACCCGTCTCTGTGTGTCACTACCAGAGGAAAATTCTCCACTGCCGATGGGACAAAGCCTACACTCTTAGAAGGCACACCCACATGTCCTCATGTCTTGGCCTTGTTATGTTTCCAACCTTGCTTCTTGTCATTTTCCAGAGAATGCCCTGTGCTCCAGCCATGCTCAAGTAGCTGCTCCGACCCCGAATGGGTCATTCTTGCTCATGCCTCCAAACCTTTACGCACTCTATCCCCTGCATTTGGGAACTCAGGACTGGGCTCTGGTATCTCTGCATATGTCAGTTATCTCACTGCAGGTGGTTGATTTTTTCCACTGGGGCCAGCAGGCTGTGAGCCACTTGAGGACAAGACTGGGTTTTGCACATCTCGATGTCTCTAGAATCTGGTGTGATGCATGACACCCAGACACTTGGTAACTGTTGATTGAATGGATGAGTGGATGAGGCCAGGCCAAGGACTCATGGATGACAGGGGAGAACAGGTGGTCAGTGGCCACCATGCTGCCCTAAGCCGCAGAGCTCCAGCTTGTGTGGACATAATACCCTTGCCAGACACACCCAGGTGCTCGGGAAAGGCTGGCTGCCAAATGGGAATGCTGGGCAGGGCTGCCTCAGCAGGGGGATGGTTAGGGTTCCCTGGCAGCTGTGTCCCCAGCTGATAGGGCCTCCCACGCTCCAGCCCTGGTGGTGTTCCCGCTGAGGAATCTGGCCAGACACTGGCAGCATTCCTTCAGAATCTGAGCGCAGCAGAACATTCAAACTGGGATCCTCCCTTCTAGATTTTTATTTTAGGGAGACACCCTCATTAATGTTGGTGACGTCAGTAAGAAATCCAAGAATTTCCTTGGAAAGCAGGACAGTCACAAGGTGAGAGAAGAGGTCAGAGTCATGATAGTGAGGCCGCACCTCCTTAGTGCTCTGAAGGTCTTGGGCTCAGATAACAGCACACTCTGGTGGGACTGAAAGACGGTAGAAATGATGGGCATGATTGTCGGAAATGTGGGTCCTTGGGGAGCAAAAGCAGGCCCTGAGGTTGGGGAGGTGGTGATCTCCTGATGTCACGCTGGGGAAGAGAGCACTCTTGGAAATGATAAAACGGTCATGTGACGTATGGAGGACAAGTCTGGAGCAGATTGTTTCAGGGTGGTCAGTGCACGTGAGAGGAAGTGCAGCCAGAGCCTGGCAGTGCTGCCTCAGACTGAGTCTGCGTAGGCAGAAACGTGCAGTGTAGGAGCTAACGAAGCAGATTTCACAATACTGGCAAGAAACTGACAACCCGATAATTTACCTGCACATCAAAGTTGACCCTAATATTTCTCATCACTCCCCAGCTCTCCCTATGGCCCTTCCAGACCCCACCCACACCCAATTAACTGGCTTTCAGCAGAGAGCCTTCCAAGAATGATGCCAACTCTGTAGGGTGTTCTTCCGCATGAAGGTTTGTACAGGGGGGTGGCACCGAAACAAAACAAGACTTTTCTTACACAGTACACCTCCCTGCCTGAGTTGGCAGAATGGATGCACTAAGACTTCCACAAAAAGAGATTTAAAGAGGTTTTATAGACCCATGTGTGGTGCTGGGAATTGATTAAGTGATATATGTGTATCTATCTATCTATCTATCTATCTATCTATCTATCATCCATCTATCCATCCATCCAGTGTATTTAGCATGGGCCCAGTGGAATAATGGACTCTAAAGGATTTCCAACAAAAAATAGACTCAGGTTTCCCTAGGCGATGTTGCAGGTCTTCTGGTTCGCCCCTCGACTGTTCCATTGTGAACAGCGGGGAGGCACCTTGCACCAGGTTGCAGAGTCAGCAGAGCCAGGACAAGCATTTGGGCACCCACCTTGGCATTTTCCTCACTGCACCACTATTTTACTCTACTGTGGAGACAAATTTAACCCACAAGAAAGTGTAGAGGCGTTCTGGGCTCCTCCCCTTCTCTCACATCTCAAATTCAATCTGTCACAAAATCTGTTTTCAAACTTTTCTTCGAATTTCATCCAAAGCCGTTCTCTTCTCACACTGCCCAGGGCTTCTGTTGTGGCACAAGCCTCTGCTATCTCCCCAGGATCCCTTCTCTTCCCTTTCACCGTTGCCTCTCTTACACTCTGTTTTTGGGCAGCCATCACATCACTGTGATGATCATTTAGCATGTCTGATCATGTCTGTCCTCTGCACAGAGCCCCCCGAAACTCCCCATACACTCAGCGGGAGCCAAAGTCCTCGCACAGCCTGCTGGCCCTCCACGGTCGGAGTGGAGTGCCTCCCTCCCTGCACCTCCCAGACTCCCTGCACACGGGGCTCTCTTGCTCCTGCTCTGCAAACCACAGGGGCTTCCTTGCTCCTGGTGGGAACACACTAGGCCTGTTCCCACCTTGGGCCTTTGCACTGGCTCTTTCCTCTGCCCACAGGGCTCATCCCCTTACTTCCTCTAAGATCTGTGCCACCTTCTCAGTGCAGCCCACTTGGACCACCTGTTCCAGTTGGACCCTGCCTTTATCCCAGCTTTCCTGAGTTCCCTTATCCTGTTCTATTACTTCTTTCAGTAACACTTATCACCATCTAACATATAGTGTATTCATTTAAGCTTATTGTTGATACCTCCCACAAAAATATACATCTTTTTTTTTAAAGATTTTATTTATTTATTTTTAGAGAGGGAAGGGAGGGAGATATATATAGAGAGAAACATCAATGTGCGGTTGCTGGGGGTCATGGCCTGCAACTCAGGCATGTACCCTGACTGGGAATCGAACCTGCGACACTTTGGTTCGCAGCCTGAGCTCAATCCACTGAGCTAAGCCAGCCAGGGCAAAATATACATCTTTAATTTACTCATTGATGCATCCCAAGCTCCTAGAATGATGCCCAGTGCATAGTGGGTACTCAATAAACACTTGTTGCATGAAAGAGAGAAACAAATAGAGACCAATGTGAGGCAGGTTCCTTCTAGAGCATCAGTTTTGAATTCAGTTTCTGTTTTGCTGGCCTTGCTCAGTGCATTTACCATGGAGGAGCTCTCTCACCTTCTGGCATACTCGACTCCTCCCTATCAGTGAGGCTAGTGTGGGAGTTGTGCTTCTGCGGCCTGCCAGCCCTGAGGCAGCTGTGTGGCCATAAGAACAAAGGACTGGAGTAAGTTGTTTCCTCAGGAATTCAGTTCACAGGATGTCTCCCCAGGCCACCCTCCTGACTTGGCTCATCCTTGGAGCTCATCCTCAGATGCCGAAACAAGGCCCTCATCTGAGACCTGTGCTCCTGGGGCAGCACCTGCTTTCTCTGGATCCATCCCTACATTCCCCACAAGAAGTGTATTTGGGGCGTGTGTGTGTGTGTGTGTGTGTGTGTGTGTGTGTGATAGAAAGAGGGAGAGGGGGAGAGAGACATACACACACACACACAGAGACAGAGAGATGGAGAGAAAGAGAAAGATCAGAAAGACTCCCCATTCCCTCTTGTTTCATTTGTCCCTTGCAGAGGGGGCATTCTGGGAAATTTTCCTGTTCTTGTCTTGGTGCTCAGAGATCCTCTGCAATGAGAGCTTTACTCAAGGGCCTGGGGGGCTGGGGGCATTGACATGATTATAGTTGGGGCTGCCAATGTGCTCTTTCAAGGAGGCAGGTGCTCTCTACATTGGGTTGCATTTCCATCCTGCTCTTCCTGGGTGCGACAAGGAGGCATCCTGTAGGATGAAGGTGGGAGGGCCTTGGCTTTGCAAGGGATCTCTAGAATTGGGTAATTGACCCTCTGAAGACCAGAGGGTCAGGCTGGCATCCTTGCCTTGCTTCTCTCTATCAAATTTCACCAACCTCTAGGACCCGCCTTAGGTCTCCCCTCTTTGTCACCCTCCCCTGCCGTGAGTGGGTGGCTCCTCAGAAACCAAGATCACTCCCTCTGCCTGATCAGTCATCTTTTTCCTCTCTTGCCGTGGGTCTTTCCTGCCCCTGTCTGCTCTCCCCACAAGATGCAGCTTCCTTAAGGGCAAACCCTGTGCATCCAGCTTGATTTCCCTCAGCATCTAAATTAATGCCTTGTTCTGGTGGGACCTCAGCACTTGCCTGTGAATAAAGGCACCTCCTCCAAACTAGCTCCTATGCTGGGCACATGGTGGAGGGCCAGCTAATATTTGTAGGCTAGATGAAGAACCTCTCCGGGTAGTGGCTGCTCCCTCCTGGGTGTAGTCTATTCCATTGAGGCAATACTTCCTGAGGACCTAAGATCTGCTGGCTGCCATGAGGGATATAAAAGTAGAGAAGACACGATTTCTGAATCCCAGGGGTAGTACCAACTGCAATGACTCTACTATAAGGTGGAGTGTAGTTCAGAGCAATAACAGGGAAGGCTTGAAGAGGCTCACTCCATGTGCGCTTGCCCTGGGAGGATGAGCCAGGCATCCCTGAAACCTTAGATGGGAAGCATGTGATTTGCCTGGAAATATGGCTGGGGACCTTGGTATGACATGGGACCCTTCCAGTCTCAGGAATGTGCTGGCCCAGGCCTCTGCTTGCCTATGTGGGATAGTGACCTGAGGTCTGCTCACAGGGCTGGAGAAGACTTAGGGCTGGATAGATATGTCTAGGCTTGTAGGGTTGAACACGCAGGGGACAGGTTTATTGGAATTTAGGATCTCCTTGATATACCATTAAAGGTGGCAAGTTTCAGCTTTCCTTCTCAATTTTCCCCTGGGGGTGATTCTCACGCTCATAAACGGCATTAATAACTTTCTCCTGCCTTTCATGTTGTAGGGAGGCCTGTCGTCGTCTGCCCTATAAAAGGCAGGAGCACTCACAGGTCTCTGGCATGAGACCTGGTGTCCTTCGGTCCCCTCCACTTTCCCTGGCATTGCCTGCAGAGCAGAGGCATGGCGAGCCGTTCCTACCGCATCAGCTCTGGCTACGGGGGTAGGAATTTTAGCTCCTGCTCTGCTGTCATGCCCAAGCCTGGGGCTCACAGCTGTGCCAGTGCCATGGCCTACAGAGGGGGCAGTCCTGGGGGACCGGGCTACAGGCGCCTCGGGGGCTTTGGCAGTCGGAGCCTGTGTGTCGTGGGGTCCCCACGGATAGCAGTGAGTTGTGTGCGCCCCCTCTGCAGTGGGGGAAGCTTTGGCTACAGAGCAGGCGGCCTTTGTGGGGCCAGCCCGCCCTGCATCACCACTGTAACAGTCAACGAGAGCCTGCTCACACCCCTCAACCTGGAGATTGACCCAAATGCACAGTGCGTGAAGCACGAGGAGAAGGAGCAGATCAAGTGTCTCAACAACAAGTTTGCTGCCTTCATCGACAAGGTGGGTTTGTGGGTTGTCCCTTGGGGCTTGTGGCTTAAGAAGCGACAAGGGACTTGGAACACAGTGACTGGCTGGGCTCAAATTCTAGGGGTCCCAGCCCTGCTGTGGATGAGCATGTGGCCTCAGGAATGTGGCTGAATCAGGGTCTTGGTTGTTAAATGCTGCCATGAAAGTCAAAATTGCAACAATGGATGTGAAACCACTGGCCAGAGCAGATGGTTTACTGCTGCTGCTGACCTTGCCCAGCAAGATCTGAATGTGTGTCTGGGGCCCCACTCTCTGGGTCTCAGCCATCACACAGTGGGGGGGTGGGCGGGGTGGGCATCTCTGCTAAGGCTGGTGTCTGACCCTGCTCCTGACGGAGATGCTGCCATCCCCAGCACGCAGAGGGAAGCCAGGACAAAGAAGGGCTGGAAGCTCCTTTCCTGCTCATTCCTCGTGGGGACACTGGTAGGAAGGCTGTGAATTCCCAGGACTTCTGCCCCAGGTGCCCTCCCCCCAAACACTGACACAGATGAAAGACAATGAGTTGAAACACTTAAGGGAAGTCCCTGGAGGGGCTGTTGAATCACACTTTTCCACTGTTGCGGTTTCAGAGCCCTCCTGTTGCTGGATATACAGCTCTGGTTTTCTTTGATTCAGTGATACCCCCAGAGCCTGCAATCTGAAGTTTGGGGGAGGATAGCCTCTGGAGTCCAAGTGAAGAAAGGCTCATCTCCTTTTTTCAGTACTCCATGGTGTGCACAGCTACACCCAGAAGGTGCACACTGGGCAATGTGGGTAGGAGCTTTGGTCCAGATAGAGGCCACCACCAGAAATAGGCAGATCTGCAAGCGAAGGTGCTGTGCATCAGTTCTTAGCATGCTGCTGGCTGTCCAAACCACTCTTCCTTTCCATTGGTACACAGAAGCTGACCCTAGGATCATAAGGGCTACTCATTGCATGAAGACTCTCACAAAGACAGATGAGGGGAAGGTTGAAATCCAGCGCTTGCTCTGCTCACCAGGCTGTGTGCCCTGGCAGAGGGCTACATCTCCTGGGAGGGAGTACCTTTTCCTAATTTGCTCAAAAACATGGTGAGGACCCTGAGCATGCAGACTTGAAAGGAATCTTTGCATGTGGCCTTTTGGGTATCACCCTCCCCAGGATTGCTGCCAGCCACTCACCTCCTCCCAACATTCTTCCTTTAGGATGAGCACCAGACACACAAGGTGCATCGATGTGGTGGGTTTAAGCCTGCAGAGCAGGCAGGCCAGAGAGCCGCCCTCACCACCTGGTGACCCCCAGGCAGGTGCCTTTTGGGTAATCAGGGTTTTGGTTGCTTTTTCCACAAGCATGGGCTGTTCATTGGGTTGCTTTCTTTATACTAGGCTTGTGCTCCTAGAAGTTTAGGGCTTGAAAGGAGATCATAGTTTAGGACCAGCACCTGCATGGTGCCTGGTGGGTGAAGCCAAGCCGAGAGGCGTGCCTGCCGACAGGGGCGGCTGCTGCCACTCACCTCCAGCCACGGGCCCAGCATTGCCTGAACGTCCGGTTTGTCAAGGTCGGGGAACTCTAGAGTCTTGCCTGAAGTCACTGAATTATTAAATGTTGGTAATTAATCAGATTTTTATAAAACAGTGCAGCCAAATAAAACATGCCTATGGGCCAGATGGGGCCTGGGAGCTGCCCGTGTAAATGGACCATGTGTTCCTGCTGCCTCGGTCTGCAGTGAGGCTCAGAGAGAATGAGGTGCAGTGTCTCGGTTGGGGGCGAGTTAGGTGGTGGGAGACCTCCTAACTGCTGGTCCCAGATTCTCCCTTGGGGGCCCCCAGAGGCAGAGTGAAGGAAGGTCATGGTGGCTGCATTTTTAAATCACTGGCATAAAAATTCCCACAAACTTAGCAGCTTAAAACAACATACGTTTATCTCATGAGGCTGAAACCGAGCTGCCAGCAGGGCTACAGTTCTTTCTGGAGGCCCTGGGGAGGCCTGTCTCCAGGGACGTTCAGGTTCTTGGCGGAACTGAGTTCCGTGTGATCACAGGTCTGAGGTCCCTGTTCCCTGAGGTCCCTGGCTGGTTGATGGGGTGGGGGGTGTCCTCAGTTCCAGAGGCTGCCTGACTGCCTGCCATCACTGATTCATGGCCCCCTCCCCGACTTCAGAGCTGGTGATAGTGGTCGAGTGTTTCTGGCTTCTCGTGTTCAAAACCTCTCCTCTGCTTCCTTCTTCTGGACATCTCTCTCATTCTTCTACCTTCCTCTTCTGTGTTGAAAGGTGACTACTGTAGGGCCCACCAGGGTAATTCAGGATGATCTCCTGATTTTCAGGTGCATGACCTTAATTCCATCCGTAAGGTCCCTCTCTCCTGTACTGCCACATAGGTTCCAGGGATTAGGACATGGCCACCTTTGAGGGCTGTTTTTGACCTACCACATGCAGTCTGCAGTATTTTTTCAGGATCAGATGTTATTTCATTCTGTGCAGAATAAACAAATCACACACACGAATTGGGTGCTGTTTCTGGGAGATGGGGATGGGGTGAGGGGAAGTTATTGGGGAACAATTGTGAGCTGTACTTTCAGACTTTGCAGATGATTGGTCTTCGGGGGAGGCCACAAGCTGCTGCAAGTCAGGGTCCACCCCCAAGGGCAGAGAGAGTTCTGGAGGGGCCAGGCTCCTCCCCTGACTCCCCACTGAGTTTCCTTCCTCATCCCTGGGCGGCAGGTGCGCTTCCTGGAGCAGCAGAACAAGCTGCTGGAGACCAAGTGGCAGTTCTACCAGAACCGCAAGTGCTGCGAGAGCAACTTGGGGCCCCTCTGTTCAGCGGCTACATCGAGACGCTGAGGCGGGAGGCCGAGTGCGTGGAGGCCGACAGCGGGAGGCTGGCTTCAGAGCTCAACCACGTGCAGGAGGTGCTGGAGGGCTACAAGAAGAGGTAAGCATGATAGAGCCAGGGTGGTTATAGAAGTGGGGTAGATCTTGGCTGGGTCCATACAACTTTCCTGGAGGCAGACATGTTTGAATGTCAGGGTCATTCAAGGCAACCAGTCAGATGGTTCTCTTCATCAGTCTGCTCCATATTGTCCGGGCTCCAGGCTCTTGCAGCTAGCTCATCCTCGGGACTGGGCAACGCAGTCAGGAGAGAAGGGGTCCTCCTAGCCTGGGAGGGGTGGGACGTGCATCCAGGGTGCAGACTGACGCAGAGATTGAGAGAACAAATGAAACAGGAGGACAGAGATCAGCAGGGCAGGAAAGCTGGATGTGAGAGGCAGTCAGCGCCAGGATGGGTGGAAGGGAAAGATCCTGGAAGAGAAATCCCGAAACGATCAGGCTGATGCCATTCAAGATATCTGATAAAGTTGGATACTTCTTTTGTTTACACTGCACATAAATCATCAGGCTTTGTTCAGCAAGGCTCTGCAACTCAAAAGTCCATGTAAATCTTTTATTTTAACCTGCCTTGTTTAGTTTATCCATTATCTAGTGTTACCCACGGGATCACTTAACTTGCCCCACTCTATCTGGTAGATGCAGACAGAGTGATTTTGACATAATCACTTCTGGTAATTCTAACTGGAAGTAATTGGATTCCTGGTCTTGGAAGGTCAGGTTTTGCCATCCAGATAGACACAACAATGGGTCTTCACTTCCCCTGGGGGCAGGGGATGCAAATACAGACACAATTCTGTTTGCAGGTGTCAAAGGTCGTCTCCCACTCTGGGGGTGTGAGGGCCGCTAATCACAGAGCTCAGAGTTTACAGCAGCCCCCAATTACCCTGTAATTACAAAGTTGTGGAAACTATGCTCTGGGAACTTTGGTCTCCCTTATCAACAGGGGTGAGATTGGTGGGAATAAGGCCTCATGGATAAGAGCAAAAGAATACTCAGGCTGGAGGAGGAGGGCGGGAAGTGTCCCCCAGCAGCCTGGACAGAGTGGGTGGCTTCCAGTGTTTCAAGTCCTCGGATATTGGTGGGGGGGGGATGGGGAAGAATGTCATGGACTTCATGGGCTTTGTGTCGTGCACAATTTTAGGGATGCAGGACTCCTTAGAGCACCTGTCTCATTCATCCCACAGACTTTCTGAGTGCCTTACTGCATACCAGACAATTTAACCCAAGATGCAGAGAGAGTAAATTACTTGCCTGAGCTTTTGCAGGGACTTCACTTCCAAACTTGGACCAGAAACCAGGGACTTGGACACCATGTTCAGAGTCCTTTGGTGGGTTCTTTGTGGCTGGGAAATAGAAGTTGAGAGAGACTAAGCCTCTTCTCCCAAGGTACACAGAGTCAAAGGCAGAACCAGGGAGTCTTGAAAACCTAGGTTCACTAGCCAGTGCACAGCCCGCAGCCCTGTACTCTCTCTCCTCAGGTATGAAGAGGAGGTGGTCCTAAGGGCCACGGCTGAGAATGAGTTTGTGGTGCTGAAGAAGGTGAGTGACTCTTCCTCTGTGTCTAGCAGCTATTGCTTGAATGGTGGATGCTTGAGACATGATCGAGGTCATGTTAGTCCTGTTGGGGTGGCAGGGCACTCATGTCCCCTGGCAAATGGAGGCTGGTTCAGCTTGGAAGCCATCATGGCCCCAGTGCAAGGACCGAGACCATGTTGATGAGGCTTCTTAGAAAGGAAACCTCATCATACTGCTGTCTGACTTTTCATAAACTCTCTGACTCACTGAAATGGCCACTTCAAATCCATTTCGCTCTCCTGTCGACATCGCCTCCCAGCTGGTTCCCAGCTTCCCAGTGATTTTGTGAGCTGAGCGGTGGCAGTTGCAGATGATGAAAAAACCAAAAGAAAAAAAACTGCTAATAATTTCCCTTTTGTTTCAAATTGTTGAGTTGATGTGTATACTTGTGTAGTTTGACAAATAATGTGCTTACCAGCTGTCTTATTTGTGAGTAATCACAGAAAGGAGAGAAGGCCGGTAAGAAAAACAACAACACAACATCTGCCCATAGAGGTGTGACCTTGGTCTCGGGCAGCAGAGTCAGCTACTTGGGTGGTGGGTGTTGCCTGGCCTGGGTGCCGAGGACGACCTACCGGGGAGGTGCACCTGGGGTTCTGTGGCCACCACAGGGTCATGTTCTGTGGGCCAGTTCGGCTTAGTGGCAGCAGCCTGAAGTTTTGGGTTTTGATCTTAGGCTAGCATCTTCCTCAAAATCCCCAGATCTGGAGGAACTGGGAAAAGTCTGTAGGGGCCAGACTTCTCTTCACTTTCTATCTGACGTGGTCTCACTGATGTTTGCAATGGAAGGTAATGGCAGTGGCAGATATCAAAGGCCTTGTCCCTACTGGCGGGGCCCTGAAGGTGGCTTATTATTGTAGGTTGGATAGCCAGGGGCACGAGGCCGGGCCAGGAGGTGGCGTCAGAGTGCCACTGCAGAGTGCAGTGTCCAGGGACACAGAGTGACCCACACCCCACGCTCTCCTGTCTCCTCCACCAGGACATAGACAGTGCCTACCTGCGTAAGGCTGACCTGGAGGCCAACGTGGAGGCGCTGAGGGCGGAGATGCACTTCCTGCGGGCCCTCTATGAGGAGGTGAGTCTCCCTGCCTCTGGAAGAGCCATGGAGAGCGGAGGCAGAGGAGGGTTTTCCTTGGTTCTAGGGAAAGTGGCCCATTCGTTACTCGTCTAGGATCTCAACATCCTTTCCTTTTGTGACCGAAGGAGATTCTTCTCTTGTTTAGGCCTCCTTTCAAAATGACAGTGGATGCTGTCTTTCCTTTGATGATTTGAAAGTCTGTAATTCACCGCCTGTCTACACAGCACAACATGAAGTAGAGATTTGATAATAGAGGCATATAGTAGATATGATAATAGTTATAGTATGAAAACCCAGGGCTCCAAATCTGGCCACTGCCTGGTTGGCTGGACTAATACAGACGCTACAGCTGATCTGGAGAGTTTAGGCTTCAGGCACAGGAGTCCAGGTTGTTCATGACCATGGAAACCTGCCTCTGTGTATCCCAGCATTAATGAAATTCTGTCTTACTCGTTGCCTGGAGGCATGGCCCACATTCCAGCCTTTTCTTCTTAAAGCTACACTTAAAATTTCCCTAACTGGCCAGTAGTTTTCTAATTTAATTCCTAAAGTTTCAGAGTTGGGACCATGCTTTGGATTACCTGGAGAGACAGGAATTGGAAGGGAATTTGGAGCTGAGGGCCCTGGCTGTTGTCTCCTGCAGGAAATCCAGGTCCTTCAGTCACAGATCTCTGACACCTCGGTGGTGGTCAAGATGGACAACAGTCGGGAGCTCAACATGGACTCGGTTGTGGCCGAGATCAAGGCTCAGTATGATGACGTGGCCAGCCGCAGCCGGGCTGAGGCCGAGTCCTGGTACCAAACCAAGGTAAACTGGAGGACTGGGCTGTCCTGCTGGGCAGGGAAGACAGCCAAGAACCCAGCCTTCCCTGGGAAAGGCACCCAGCACTCTGAGGGGCTGCCGCTGAGGTCTGGGTTCAGAGCAGAGGAAGGAGGTGGGGCTGTCTCAGAGCAGCAGGCTGGTTAATCTGGGCTAGGGAGCAGCGGTCAGTGGTCTCCTGGGACACCCTCCATCCACGTGGCGATCATTGGTAGTTTCCTCATGTTTGCCTCCCAACCCTCAGTGTGAGGAGATGAAGGCCACAGTGACCCAGCAGGGTGAGAACCTCCGGAGGACCAAGGACGAGCTCAACGACCTGAACCGCGTGATCCAGAGGCTGACAGCAGAGGTGGAGAATGCCAAGCAGCAGGTAGGGGGACACGGAGAGCCACTCGGCACACCTGCTGCTTCCCATCTGCTTTCTGCTCTTCTTCTACCTTGAAGGGCCCTGCTGCCCTTGGAGAGGCTGGTATTTTAACCACCTGCGCCTAAAGGACCAACAGTCCACAGGACATTCTGGGCAGAAGATTGGCCCGTCGACTTAACACATGTCCTCACGGTTCCTCTCCCACACATATATTCACGTGCAAACACTGTATACTTAAACGTTTTAGTGTTTTAATTGCACATGATGATATTATACCATAAACTTTATTTTGATTCTTTCCTTTGCCAGTTGACATTATGTCTTTGAAATCCATGCATGCTGCTATAAATAATCTGTTTTGTTATTTCTCCTTTGTAGAATTCTGTAATACCCATAAACCATAGTTTCTTCTCCATTCCCCTGTTGATGACATTTAGTTTTCCTCCAAGTTTTTGCTACTTCAACAAGTTGTATCATGAACACTTTTGTACACATCCCCATTTACACCTACATGAGAGATGCTTGAAAGGGCAAAGCAAGAAGGGGAATTGTTGGGGTGTAAGACATTCACTTGTTTACTTCCTATAAGTACTCGCGGGGTGCCGGGCCAGTGCATGCTCCCACCGTCACTCGCGGGCCCCAGTTTCAGCACGCGCTGCCATCAGACTTTCAAATTCTTGTGCATCTGAGAGGCATGAACCAGAATCTAACTGGTATTTAAGTTTTCACTTCTCTGGTTAACTGGCGATATCGAATGTCTCCTCACACACTTACTACTCATTTGCACTTCTTCTAAGAATTGCCTGTTCATGTCATCTGCTCGCTTTCCTGTTGTGATTCCTGTCTTCTTCTCACTGCTTTGCATTATTCTTCTGTCCGTCCTATCTAGATCGTAATCCTTAGTCAGTCACACATGCTGCAATTCTCTCAGCCTGTCATGTGTCTGTCTGCTTCGCTCTGGTGTCTTTTATTGAACAGAAATCCTTCACCTGGACATAACCACATGCATCACTTCTTACTGTGAATGTGTTATACTTACAACGGTTTGCGATCATAGATGTGTCCTCTTACATTTTGCCCTGTACTAGTTGTATAGTTCTAACTGTCATGTTTAGGTCTTTAACCCACCTGAAATTTATTTTTTGTATGTATAAGACGTAGAGTTTTCATTAAAATTTTCTGCATACACTGTAACAAGAACATGTATCATGGAGCGTATTCTCTATGCACGAGCTTGTGACTCCACCTCTGCCACAGGCTGCACTCCCGCACGCCCCGGCTCGTTCCCGTCCCCCCTCCGCTCGCCGTTCCAGGCCACTGTGTGGGGTGTGTCACGGGTAACTCATTGCTGTTAACAGCTGAGGTAATGAAATACGAGAATGGTTTAGTTTCCAGAGGTGAAATTAGAGTAGATTAGGAGTCATCTTTACCTGCATGCTGGTGTGCTCTTAAAAAATGTTAATTTTATTGTTGTAAGAACACGACATGAGATCCTGACAGGTGTGAGGTGATCCTCATTGTAGTTTTGATTTACATTTCTATGATGACCAGTGATATTGTGTGTGTTTTCATATACCTGATGAACATCGCTGTCTCCTTTGGAGAAATGTCTATTCAAGTCCTTAACCCATTTTAAAAACTGAACTATTAGTTTGCTGACTTCAAAGAATGAGACCCCCTACAGTGGCCTCTGAAAACCTGAGGCTGACAATAATTAATTAGGTAGCTTAGGGGAAGTCACAGCCTCTCGGAGTCTCAGTCTCTTCATCTGCATAATGGGAATAACACGGCCTGTTCTGAAAGTGCCTTGTAGACTAATGACAGCAAACAAATATAAGATAATATCACTAATTATTGCCAGGCCTATTCCAGTGCTAACATTTCCTCCCTCTAATGGCTTCCCATGGACTTGAATTTTACAACAAAGCGGTGTAAAAATAAAGGAAGAAAGCTCCAAATGGCTATTATTTCCCTGCTTAGTTAATTTAAAAGTTGACCTTTTTGAATGGAGGAGAAATAGGATGCCCAAGGTATGGGAGACCCACCAGGGGTCCCACAGCCTGCACCCTCTCAAACTCCTTCCCTCACCTCCTTTCCCCAGCGCTGCAAGCTGGAGGTCGCTGTGGCCCAGGCGGAGCAGCAGGGTGAGACGGCTGTCAGTGATGCCCGCTGCAAGCTGGTCGAGCTGGAGGCCGCCCTGCAGAAGGCCAAGCAGGACATGGCCTGCCTGCTCAAGGAGTACCAGGAGGTGATGAACTCCAAGCTGGGCCTGGACGTGGAGATCGCCACCTACCGCAAGCTGCTGGAGGGCGAGGAGAGCCGGTGAGGATGGGACTCAAGGTCACTTCCCAGCCCCACCCAGACTGATGGCATTCAAACTGGGAAATACTCTAGAGATCATGGGGTCCAGCCATTTCCCCATTTTTCAGATATAGAAACTGAGGCCCAGAGAGGGGAAGGGCCTGGTCCAAGACCACAGCTAGTTAGAGGCTGAGCTGAAATGATACCAGTCTCCTGGTTAGCACCCCAGTGATCTTTTCCCTCCTACACTGCCCTCCCCTCAGCTGTACCGAAAGCCCACTCCAAGGCAACGACTCTACCCTGCAGCCCGAAAGGACGTTTCTGCAGTCACATCTCAGTGGGTTGTAAAGGCTGCAAGCATTCGGAAGACTCGTTAAAGGCCATTTGATTTGGGAGGTGCAGACATGAATCCTATGAACCTAGATACTCTGGTGCTCAGGACCAGTGAATGGAAATGAGCAGCACAGGCGACGACAGAGGCAGGCACAGGTCCAGCCTCCAGGTGCGGGGGTGGGGAGTGGGGGGTGGATAGTGTCCCAGGGAGGCTGTTGGAGGCACCTCAGAAGACGAGGTAGAAAACGGACAGGACACTTCAGGCTGTGCTGACAGTTCCAGCTGTGAACTAGAGGCAGGTGAAGTCTGCCTGGGAGGGAACAATGTGGCTTTACACCTGGGATGGTGCCTGCGCTCCTAGCCTTGAGGCTGCCGAGTCATCCTCGCCTCCTGGCTGGGTCCCATCAGTGGACAGCAGGCTACCCTGGGGAGTAGAGTGTACAAGGTTCAGGTCACAAACTGTGAGCCACGTCTGGGTTCAAAGCCCGGCACTAGCTGTGAACCCCCTTGCCTCAGTGTCCTCATCTACAAAATGGGTAATCGTAAGACCCACCACTTAAGGCTTTTGCAAGGGTTAAATAAATCAATGGAACATAGTAAGCAAAAGTAATAGCTGGTTATTACCGGAATAAGAATATCTCTATCCAGGGTAGCCAGGCAAGGCTGCACCCATGCTCCCCGTGAACATGGTTAGTGTCTGAAATCTGACGTGAGGGGCACCCAAGGCAGCTGGCCATGCTGCTGGACTTGCATCATGCCTGACCAAGGCAGGCAAACTTTTACACTCATTTCCTCAGGACTTTGGGTGAAGCTAGCAGAGCCATCTCCTCCTTTGTGGCCTTAACTCATCCCATCCACCAGTATTCTGTGAAGCACTTGGCCTTTGCATAGTGAAACTTTCATTGTGATAATAATCATTAGTGTATTGATAACTCAGTCATATAATGAATAATGTACTGTCTCCAACACATGAGATTTTGAAAAGCTTAGTGGATTTTGCTTTGCATACTGTGGCCATTGACCTTTCAATATGCCTGTCCTTTGGGGATCCCAAGGAGCAGAGCCAACCCTGATGCTGTCTGCAGAGTGTGGACAGCCTGACCCCAGCCCCTCACCCCCTCTCCCCTGCTTCAGGAAGGAGAATAGGCCTGCTGCAAGGGCAGGAGAGCTCGGTTCTAATGCTCACTCTCTCCTCTACCTGCAGGCTGTGTGAAGGCGTGGGCTCAGTCAACATCTGTAAGTTGGGGGTGTGTGTGGACATGGTTCTTTTGGGTGTTGATAGTCTTAATACTAGGTTGCATCTAAATAGCAACTGAACCTCTGTCTGTGGGGCTCGGGGGAGGGTGGTGGTAGCTGAGGCCTCTGGGATCTGGACAAACTGTTGGTCCAAAATGTTTGACCCCACATGGATCCATCTGGAACATCCATGGAGTCTAGGCTGATGAATGCGGCAAATTCTGCCCATCCCCCCACAACTGGTTCGGCAAAAACAGCCTAAGTCTTTCAATTTCACACAGAACACTCCTTAAGTGGTGCAGTGTTTTCATAAGAAGAGACACAAGGTGTCTATTCTGATCATTTGGGGCCGCTGCAGGCAACTCTCAGATCTTTATGTCTAATGGTCCCATGTGCACACAGAGCCTAGGTTGGGCATCTGTCTCTTGCCCTCATCTTCCCAGCAACCATATTTCTAGATAATTCCTCTGCTGCGATCATTGGTTCTTGCTCAAAGATTGAATAAACACATCTCAACATTAGTCTGGTTCAAGCAGAGTCAGGTGCCCATTCTCTGACCACGCTCCTTCGAGAAGCAAATGGCAGTGGGTTTAAAAGGTTCATGTTGTCAGTCCCTTGGAGTGTGAAGAGAGCTAATTACTGGTTCCCCAAAATTCAGGGTCATACCATGTCTGGGATGGAGAGAATTCTGACCCGGTGTCCCCACTTACAGGTGTGAGCCGTTCCCAGGGCGGTGTGGTCTGCGGGGACCTCAGTTCCACGGTCCCTCGTGGCCTGGGCGGCGTGGCCATCGGCAGCAGTGCCCTGTGCGCCCCCTCGGTGGCTGGGCCCTGCTCCAGTGCAAGATCTGTGCGGTTTGCATAGCAGGGGTAGGGTGGGGGCTGGGGGTTGGGCGTGGGTGTGGGGGGCCGGGACTCTGGGTGGATGAGGTCTGATGGGGCAAGGGTGGGGGACATCAGGGCGAAGTCTTTTTTCTCTCAGGCCCAAATGTCAGTTTTGTCATTTCCTCATACTGGGAACCCACACTGACGCTCAGTTTCCTTCTTGTTGGAGTTTCCTCTGAGTGCAAACCCTGGGTTTGGCATTATTGCCACTTCCACTGATTCCCTCCTCCTCACGGTCCGGGAAAGGGACGTAAAGGCTTTTTGATACAAACGGAGTAGTCACTTTTCCTCCCAACTAACTGCAGGTTAGCAGACATTTCCCAGGGAACTGACCAAGTGCCAGGCCCTCTGGGATGGGAGCCAGGGCGGGGATGGCAGTGTGTGGGCAGCCTCCGGGCCCTCTGCCCTCGATGAGGCTGTGTGTGTCCTCACCTCAGTGCGGAGGGGCCCTGGGGGACTGCAGCTGAGGGAGACCCTCACTGGATCTGAGAGACTGTCTGTCCCTAGAGTGTCCCCAACCACTCATACATCAGGATGGGAAGACTGACGGAGGCTCCTCTGCATCTGCTGAGAGTTTTGTTTTCCGTGCTTTGGAATTTTACTGTATTTGGGTGATTCCTGTTATGGCTCCTTTTGTCTTTTGGTGTGTCTGTAATTAAAAGGCTAATGGCTTTCTCCTAGTTAACCAAGTTAAAGTCTGCCTTTCTCCTCCTCCTTCCCCACTGCCTACCACTTTCCCGATTGTTTTAGTGCTTCTGCAAGTGTGGTCCCCAGACCACAACTTATATCAGCATCTGGGGTGGGGGGATGGATGAATTTAACGAGTTCCCAGGTGACTCCTCTAAGAACCAAAGCTGAGCACTGCTGGTTGCTGTGGGCCGGGGAACAGGAGCATTGGGTAACTCTGACTGTGGAGCAGGCTTTCCCTCAGACTCTCACAGGGTCAGGTTCGTCTCTCCGCAGAAGGTCAGAGACAGTCTAGCACACCCAGGCTGGGTACGGTGGAGACAAAGGTAGGAAAGGGGAGAGAAGGGAGCCTGTGCACAAGCAGCTGCTAAATATATCACGTATGTATTTCATTCATCATTCCAGCAACAGTCTTATTATCTTCGTTTTGCAGGTAAGGAAGTTGAAGCCCAAAGAAGTTAAGCAGCTTTACTGAGGTCACACAGCTAGTCCAGGATCCAAACAGAGAGTGTAGAGAATGCCAAAGCTCATACACTTTCCACTGTCACCCCAATTTTCCCTTCAGGCCAAACACCCTGGCTCAGCAGAATGCCTCCGGATGAGGGGTTCTAACTGGTCCCACCTCACTAGTCTGACCCTGCGGAGAAGAGAGATGGAAGGCGACATAGAGGAGCCTCCCGGAAGTGTTTGTAGAAACACCTCCCATAGCCTCTGCTCTCCGGGGATCTTGGACAGACCTCGTTATGGGGTGGTTAAGTCAGGTGTCCTATGTGGGAACCCAGAACGAAAACTCAGACCCCTGTTGGAGGGCGTCTTCCCTGATGGCCTGGATGGGGGTCATTGACTGGGGGGCTCTGTGTCTGACCTGTTCTTGAGCTGACGGTCCCGAGAAGTGCCCCCTGGGGCAGTCTGTTTAGTGTCCCTGCCGATGCAAATGCATCCCCCAGGTGTGATGAGATGGAGAGAGGGCTTTCTATGGGCAACTTTCTTTCACTTGTTTTACAGGAAGAACTCTACTTCTCCCATCTTTTTTTAATTTGGGATTAAAAAAGATTTTAAAAAAGCCCTGAATGGGTAGAGGATGTTTTACCACAAGAATATATATTTGATCTCTAGACATAGAAAAGCCTTTCAGCTGTTTTCTCCCTGGCAACGCCATCCTTCTGACGCCTCCAGCACGTGTGCCCAGGGAGCACATCGACCCTCTGGGACCTTGGGAGGACCAAGGCTTCTCTCAGTGCAGTGTCCCCTAGTCTCTGCTTCCTGGACTTAGAGGGTCTGCATTCTGGGCGTGTCATGGCCTGGATCCCACCAAGGGGTGCAGTCAGGTCCGGTGACTACCAGGTCTTCTGTGAGGAGCGACAGGAGTCCCGCCAGGCGGCTGCTGCGGTGGGAGGGTTGTGGGGGGCGTCTAGGGGAGTGTTTGCTGTTTCTTTCTGTTGGTGGCCATGAGGATATGTACGCAGACACATATGTGTGCCTCTCGGGTTTTCTCCATTACTTCAGGCCCAGCCTCACCCTCCGAGTGCTGCCCCCACCACACTCCGTTCCCTGGCGGCTGGCCCCTCATGCCACTGCCCCAAGAGCACCAAGGGAAGAAGAGCGGGCATGTTGGGGGGCACTTGGCTTTTGAACAAAGTAGAAGTGGGCGGGGACTTCTGGGGGCACAGAGGGGTGTGGTGGGGGGGCCAGAAAGTGGTGTGAGGTGATTGTGCACTAAGCCTTTCCCACCGCAAGTCTCCCCTCCCAAAGAGAGCAGAACTTAGGGCAGGTGTCCCCGTTGCTCCAATTTGCAGCGAACAAAACACTCCATTCTGTCTCCTTTAATGTCCACATTCCTGAGAGCGGCAGGGCTGTGAGTAGGCACACAGGGGGAATTCCCAGGTGGTCATTTCCTATGTCCACGTGCATTGCAAAGGGGACTACGTGGTGTGATTTCCTTCATCTTGGGGTTAATTCACATTTCTCACTATGTTTGGTTCAGGTGAATAATGACACCAGTCTATGTTTCCTGAGGTCCCAGAGGCTGAAGCAAGGGACAGTTGGAGACACTGGGGCTGGAGCCAGTCTGGGAGTGGGTGTTGGTGACAAAGGTACAAAGTGGAGGGGACTGGAGACAGTGAGGAGTGCTTGTGACCTCAGAGAGAAAAGAAGATGCCGAGGCCCAAGCTTCCCTGAGTTTTTAAAAGGACCGTAATGCATACTTTCTCTTCCTTTGGAGACCCTGTGCACTTTGGGGGTACACTGAGTATTTGAATAAGAGTAGAAAAAAGGCAGAAAGTCTGATTTTCTCTGACAGGGTTTTAGCTTGGTCTGGAGTTTCAAAGGAGAAGGGAGCTGGGGAAAGAGCACTGGAATCACCCACACGGGCCAACTCTGTCATCTGGGCCACCTGCTCTTCTGACTTTTCCCTGAACTCTTCATTCTAGACAGCAACTTCTCCTTTAAATTTGTTTTTTCCTAATACAACTTCAGTTCTTAGTTATCCTTGTATCACACCCTTTCATTTCCATGGGAATAGCTCTTCTACCAGCAGAGGGCTGTGGGGGCCCTGGAATCCTTTGAACCACAAGAGTTTGCTCTGCATTTTGCTGTTGGCTGCAAGGAGGGCCAGGGGAGAAGTGTCATCCTCCAACCAATGGCACCTCTCTCTGATTGAGTCAGTTGGCTCATCTCTGCACACAAAGCATGGAAACTTATTAAAAAGCTTATTAATATCTCTAAGCTCCTGGCTGTTTGACTTTTCAATGTGTGGTGTCATATTTGGGGGTGGGTATCAGATTTGGCATTTTTGTTATGCTTGCTCAGACCCATGGTAACATCAGGGTGTTTTCCCCAAGCACAGACTCACTCCAACAACCCAGAACCAGAGGAGGTGGCCGGGCTGGACAGGGCTCATCTCACAGGTCTCCAGGCTGATCGCTGGAGCACAGAGGTCACTCTTGCTCAAGGTGTCCCTGAGACATGGCAGAGTTGATGCTCAAACTCTGATGTCCTGACTTCTCAGCCCCCGAGATTTAATCTTCCTGGGGCTGAATGAGGTACCCTAAATTGAGTGTTAGCCTGTTGTGACTGTGACCATGTCCTCAAGGCCCAGCCCTGTGAGAGGAGGGAGCAGAGCAGGCAAGGAACTTGGAGGAAGCCAGCTTGGTGTCAGCTGGCAAACTTCAAACAGCAGCAGCCTAAACACTCAGAAGAGGCCGCTGCCTCCAGTGGAGCTGCAACCCTTTGGGCTTGAAATGAGATTCATCAGAATGTGCAAGGTCTTAACTTATTCTCCCAGGGAAAGGCTGGGGGGACGGGGCAGCAGAGGGGGCTGGCAGGTGGACATCTGTGTGAAATAGTGGCAGCTAATTTGTAAATAGTGACAGCCAATCTTGGACTCACCTCCAATGGATAAATGGAGGTGAGTCCCAGAGGGCTGATTCTACAACTCCTGCTCTACCAGCTGCTTGAGTTTACCCAGCCATCCCAGACCTGACATGCCCTGGATCCCCATCCTGGGCCTTAGTTGGGGGCCAGAGCCAGGAGGAGACACTTCCTGCTCTTAAGGAACCTCCAGCTTGATTCAGGTTCCAGACACACCCAAGGACACCCCTGGCTCCGAGCCACAAGGACAGAACCAGAGATCCTCAGAGTTCCAGACACTGTGGTGCAGAGGGAGGAGAATGTGGGTGGGTGGGTGGGTGAGGAGGGGAGGCAGAAGAGTACAGAGAGCACTGAGCAAAGGCAAGTGGGAGCAGGGGTGTGGGGTGGCCTATGTGTCCATGGGGGATGGTCCTTGGTGGCTTCAGAGGGTAGACTTGTCTCCATTAGGTGGCACCCTCATCTAGGAATACCAGCACTGGGTGAAGGGGTGTGCAGGGTTGGGGAGCAGGTGAAAGGAGAAGAGATGGAGGGAGCCTGTGTTTGGCATGAGGAGCACACACACAGGCTGGGAACTGGTTTGAACCAGCGGGAGGGCGTGAGAGAGATGACTTTGGGATGGGATTCTGGCTGCTGAGGGTATGTGGGTCTGGTCAAGGAGAAAGAGGTCATGGGGAAAGCTGGAGCTGTGGTCCAGGCCTGAGGGGACTGAGAAGTACTGAACTGGAATCAGGCTATGGAAGTGGATAGGAAGCGGCAGAGTCACTGGGGAATTGGGGAAACACTACATGGGTTGGGGAAAGGACTGGCCAGCTGGAGATGGGGCAAGAGGAAGTGGAGGGTCGGATCATTGGAGGGGGCGCACATTGTGTTCATAAGATCACGTATCCTTGCATTGCGGCAGCATTTATTGAAACACTGATTGAAACAACCCAGAAGGCAAGCCACCCACAGACAGTCGTAACAAGCGGGAGACCCAGGAAGTGGCCTAACTTTCCCCATCCCACCCTCTCCGTGTTGGACAGACCCCTCCTGCACGGGTGGGGGCAGATCTGGAGCAACCATGGAGTTTTCTCTGAAATGTATAAGGTGCATTGAATACCTGTCCAAAGTCAAAAGGATTTCCCTTCCCATAATGGGCCTCTCAGCTGGGAGGTCATGGAGAAGGCTGGAACAGGCTAACCCAGAGGAAGGCAGTCAGTCAGAGAGACCAGAGAAACACACACAAAAATGACCACTGGGCAGGTGCTCCCTGCTGAGACATTCCCAACCAGGAAAGGGAGCCACTGGGTTTGGGGGAGCTAGCTTCCTCTCTGATTCTCAGGTTGTGGGAGACCTGAGGAAGCTTAGGCCCATTTCTTGTCCTGAGGGAAGATCAAGCTCCCATGATGCTCAGCCACGCTGGGTGACTGTTGAACAATACAAATTGGCCATGGGTGTTTTTGAATCAAATTGGACTTAAGTGAAGGACTGGGAATGACTAACTGAAACCAAGAGGAGAACCAGGAAACAACTCCCAGAAAAAAAGAAGGTGGCAGAGAGGTTCCAGGGTCTGTACCTCTGTAAGAACATATGGAAGATTCCAGAAGCAAACACACATTTTCCATTCACACACCATCTGTGCACAGATAGACACAGGCCACCCTGGACCCTATGCAAAGCGGACGGACCGGCTGCTCCCGCAGCTGAAGCTGGAGGAGCAGGGCTGACAGGGGGCGCAGGAGTCCGGCGCCATCACCGTGATGCTGCCCCCCGTGGCCATGGGGCCAGAGACAATCTGGCGCCCGGGGGTGGTGCTATACGTGAGGCCCCCACAGGTGACTCCACCGCGGGAACTGCTGACACCTATGGGAAGAGGGGACACAGAGGCATGAATGGTTTGCCGTGATCTCACCAACCCCGGGACAGGCCCTAACTGGCCTCCACATGACAGGACCTTCCTGTTCCTCAAAAGGTTTTAGTGGTTAATAACCCAGGCCCTGTTCCTCTCAGTATCTCAACCTGTCTAGGGGAATGGGGCAAGAAAGACAAGGGGACCCGTGGGAAACCAGTGGGACCCAGTTGCCTCGCCAGATTTCCATGGCCTGCAGTTCACATCGCCACCAGGGGAGGGCGCTTAGCCCCACTTTCCCTATAACTCCCTTGATGTCCCGGGTGAGACGCCAGGGCAGGATGAAAGGCA